AAAAAAAAAAGATAATAATCCCAAACAAAAGGGATAAACAAATGTACAAAAAAAATTAATAATGATGTAGAATATTAGTATCTTCCAAAAATTTAGTTGCAGAAAAAATAAAATAACAATAAAAAAAAAAATGAGTTTCATATCATAAATAGAAATTTTAAAATGAAGAAATTCTGATTTTTACTACGATATTAGTAAATAGGTAAGTTTGTTATATAGTAAAATAGATTTCATATCATGTAAATTTGTAATGTCACACGTGTATACAAAAATGAGTTTCATATCATTTAAAATTGTATTATCACATTATCATAATGAAATATTGATATTGATCGTTCTGTAATTGAAGTCGTGTGTTATATTTTATTAAAAAAATGCCAAACAAAACAATTATAATAAGTTTCATAGCAAGTAAAATTTCAATATTCTCAATTTTTAGATATTGACTTTGAAATCTAACCAAATTCTTCATCGTATGAAGTTTAAATTTAAATATATTTGTTCACACACGTGCTTAATAAATCTACAATTACATTCAGACTATATGAACATGATTGGATATAAAAATTTTTGTTTTGTTTGGATTTTTTTGTTTTGTTTGGTTAGTTTTGAAAAAGTTGGTGTAGTTAGTTGTTTGTGGATATATTAATATAATATTTAAAATTAAATGATTAAAGTTGATTTGATGTAAAGTAGGAAAGATAAGATTTGAAGTGATAGTTAGTTAAAATTATGTGAGTGGATGAATAGTGAATTAAGGTGATGTGGTGTGTAAAAATGATTGATTTGATATTATTTAATTATATTGATAATTGTGGGTTGAGTTAAAGTATAGTTAGAAAAGTAGTTGAGTTAAAAATGTGGGAATATTTTTGAGATAATTTTGTATCCAATCATGCTCTATGTATTTGAAAGGAATAAATTCCTTCATTTAAGGGATAATATTTCTTTAATATATCTAAATTTATATTCATGTCGATATTTTAAATTTGAATAGAGCACGAAATCCCCCTCCCCCTATATATTAATACAGAACGCGCTGAGCCTACGTGGCTGCTTCTGGTGCTTTGGAATTCTATGTGGCAAAATTACATGTTTCGTTATTAGGCTTGGGTAAATTTTAATTTAATTCTAAATAAAAAATAATTAGATTCGGATTACCATAAATATGTTGATTATTTATGGTAATGTTACATGTATTTATTGTATTTTAATATCATTCCTTATTATAACTATTGAATTGTATATATATTTTACAAGTTAATAACTTTTGTATTTTTTATCAGTTTTACATATGTAATATATCAAATTAATCTTCTTTTGATGAACTTCGATTTAACATTCATTTTCATATATACAATATGGATGTCAAATCAAAGATCATCAAAAGATGATTAATTTGATATATTACATATGTAAAACCGATAAGAAATACAAAAGTTATCAACATTTAAAATACATTTACAATTCAATAGCTAATTGAAGGAAACAAATCAAAGTTAGAGATATAGTAGTCACTTAGTGCCTCACTATATAAAATTACAAATAATTTAAGAGTTATATTAGTACAAGTGATATTAAAATACCTAAGTTAGATAAATAATATTTATGGAATGTCCAAACCTAGATTATTAATTATTAATATATCAATATTATTATCTAAACCTAATTACGAAGCATGATTTTTTGCCAAGTAGAATTCCGAAGCACAAGAAGCTTGTTTGATTTCAACCTTTATATAATGAGAAACTAGTACGAATCCCGTGCAATGCACGGTTAAGAGATATTTATTAATATTTATAAATTAAAATTCTACTTAAATAATATTTATTAATTAGAAATATTGAATCAATATGTAATACAATTTACTTATATTAGTTTATTGCAAATGTAATATAAAATTTAAATTGTGCAAAATTACATAAAAATGTATCTAAAATTAGTACACAACCCATGCGCTGCACATAACTGATAATAAATTACGTTATGCTTGTTTCAAAATAAGTGTCATTTCAAAATTTTTATTCAGAAAATCGATTTTACTGTAATATGATACCATGAAATAATTATTTAGGTACAATTTTATCATATATCTAAAAACATATGTGAATAATAAGTAGAAATATATAACTTATATTGTTTCATTAATTAAGAAAATATATTTTTGTATAAACTATCAAAATCAAAAAATTTAAGTAGTTTAATAATTTATTAAACTATAAATAATTGACTATTCCATTTACGTCTAAGTTAATATTGACTCGTAAGTTATAAAATTATTTATTTGAATTTTAATTCCAATTTCAAATAAAAATAGTTTTGTGTTTTTGTCAATGTATTATATACCAAATTTAAATCATGCAGCTAATAAATGTAATTGCCGTTATATTTGAATAAAATGGTTTTGTACATTAATTACGTTGAATTTTTAATTTGAATTTCAAATGATTGGCCGACAGAAAATATGACTTTATAAAGTGAATCGTATAATGTAAGGAAGTTACATATTTGAGAATTTTTTTTGATAAGAATACTATTTTTCATTTAGATTATGGTGATATAAACTTCGGTTTTAATTTTTGTAAATTCTGTAAAGAGAGATTCTTATGGGAATTTAATTTTGGAGATTTTTTTTTTTTTTTTTTCATATTTCGAGATATGTATTTTTTTCCAATTATGTCATCATACCTTGAAGATGGGAAACCAAAAATATTAACCACTTCACGTAAGTTTTGGGATTGAGAATAATGTGAGTATTTAAATTTTATTATGATTTCAAATTTCTTAATTTGAATATGATCTTGATTTGGATGTGCACTATCTTTTATATCATATTTTGAAAAATACACATATAAGCAGGATTTTTCGAAAAATTTTAAAAAAAATTGCCAAGTTTAGTAACTTTGAAAATATTAGGCGGGAATTTAGTTACTATATCAGGTAAATGTCAAACCTTTTTTATATTTATATAGATATAGATTGCTTTCATATCCATAAAGTTCACTCATTGTTTAGTTCCCTAGAGACATTGTTTCTATTTATTTATTAATTTATTTTTTATTTTTGTGAACTATTTTTTCTTTTTGCATTGTCATAAATCAAAATGCAGTTCTTCGTTTATTTATTTACTAGTACAACACCCGTGTATTACACGGGTGCTTGTTGAAAAATTATTCTTAAATTTTAAAATTAATGAGAAAACTATATTAAATTTAATTTACTTTTTTTTACAAAATAAATATATATTACTATATATTTTAGAATGATATGTGTTACTTACGACTTACATGTGTTATACTATAATATTTTTTACTTGTTAAAAAATTATTCTTAAATTTTAAAATTAATGAGAAAACTATATAAAATTTAGTTTACTTTTTTACAAAAAAAAATATATTACTATATATTTTAGAATGATATGTGTTACTTATGACTTACATGTGTTATATTATATTAGTTTTTATAACTTATATCATATAACTACTTGAATTATAAATATATTAGTTGATAAATAATTTTATTTTTCTAATTAATATTAAAAATAATTTTATTATTGTTATAA